TTCCTCTTCTCCCCCCCTTCCACTCCACTCTGTCTAAAGAACAATTGAAAAAATATCCTTGGGCGAGGATTAAAAAAAAAAAAGGTTCCTGAGTTCGATTCCGGCCAAGGGCACCTACCTCGGTCGCAGGCTCCATCCCTGTGCCTGGTCAGGGCTCGTGCAGGAGGCAGCCATTTGATGTGTCTTTCTCACATTGATGTTTCTCCCTCCCCCCCCTCCGCCGCCCACTCTCTCTGAAAAGCAATGGAAAGAATATCCTTGGGTGAAGATTAAAAAAAAAAATTAGACACTTTAAATATTTTATACATGATTTTACTTATATATACACATTATAGCAACTAACAAGACAAACAGTATTTGAAATACTTAACTTGAATATAGATTCCTTAAAACATCCCTTTTGGGGATCCTATGAAATGAATGAAGACCATATATACCCAAAATCTCATGGTTATCTGATGGATTGCTGGAAACAAATGTCCAAAGTTTTTTGTTTCTCCCCTTTCTTGGCAACATCTGCTTGTCTTCAGTAAGGGATCAATGGTCCCAATCTAGATATTAGAAATGTCACAATGATATTGTGCTGCTCTGAATATAAAATAACAAGAGCATCTAATATGCACTGAAGGGCTAGCATTAGGACAGGATCTTTGTCCTCTGAACCCTACAGGGTGGATACTACTATCTGCTTCACAGAGGACTTGTTCAATTTCATAGTAGTCCTGTAGTGTGGTAGAAGAGAAGGCACTAACAGCGAGAACATCACTGTTAGCACCATCTCTCCTCTGCTAAAATGCTGGTCTATCCAGACAAGTTGATTAGTCCCACCTTAATGAGGCAGGTTGGGTTGTGTTTTCTTTGGTTGAGCAACTTGGAAAAATTCTCAAAAGGAAAACAAATCATTACATATTACTTTCATCAGTTATACGTCTGTTAAGTTTTGTCTCCACTGAAAATAAATGTTGGCTCATTTCACATTCCCCTTATAGTAATGTATCCCCCAATCTTAAGAGTTTGTTAAATCAGATTTAACATACTTCTTTCCCAGAGTAAAGCGAAATAAGTCAGGCAGAGAAAGACAAGTATCACATGAGCTCACTTATAGGTGGAATCTAAAGACCATAATAAACTGATGAACAAAATAGATTCAGTGACATAGAAGCATGGAACAGACTGACAAATCTCAGAGGGAAAGTGGGGATAGAGGGGGGGTGGGGAGAGATTAACCAAAGAATTTATATGCATATATGCGTAACCCATGGACGAAGACAATAGTGTGGTGAAGGCCTGGGGGTGGGGCGAGAGTGGGGTGAAAGGGGTCAATGAGGGGGAAGGGGACATCTGTAATACTTTCAAAAATAAAGATAAATTTGTGTGTGTGTGTGTTGAGTGAGTTAATGGCTAAATGAATGACAGGAAGTAATATTAAACTGACACCTTGTCATGACTTAATAGATGATTTCAATGCTTCATAAGTCAAATCATGTCCTAAAACTTAGACCCATGCTAAGTAAAGCTTCCTTAAAAGGATTAC